AGTTCCTGTAATACATATTTGAAATACAAAATGAGGGTTAGACCTGAAGGTCTAGTGAGATCCATTTTTCCATGTAATTGCAGGGTAAAAATCATCAAAATATTATTTAAATAAATCATTTCACATATTGGAATGTAAATCCATGATCTGTTTCTGTCCATCGGTCCTCTAATCCCTATGACCAGACTTAGAAATTATTTCTGTAAGGTAGCAGGACCAGAGTCCCTCTGGTTCCTCTACCTCAAGTAAATATTTCATAATGCATGTAATCAAACACTTAAAGGTAGCTAGAATACTTTTCTCAAGTATAAATGCGATTATTAAAAGGTTTTAATGTGACAAGAGCTATGGTTCTACTAGCCAGAGCTTCTGGCTCAAAACATAAGACCAACCAGAGGCCTTCTGGCCCAACTTGCAGGGCCCCTCTGGTTTGTCTTTCCTTGTAAGAATAGTTTCTAAGTTAAAATGAGTATAAGATCTTTTGAACATTCTTTTTAAAGTATAACTTTGACACAGAGCTCCTATCTAATAGATACAGAACCTCTGGTTTAGATAAAAGCTTTGTAAAAGACTTGTATCAAAAATCAAATCATCATTCAGAACCCTCTGGTTCTGTTGTGAGGACCAACCAGAGCCCCTCTGTTTCCTTTCAAGGAACAACCGGAGCTTCTCTGTTCCTCATAAATCAAACACTTTTCCAAACAGAGTTTATCCAAAACCATTGGCCATAAGCCAAGTTTTCCCCTTCTCAATAACATAAATACTATCATTTCTAATAAAAGCAGCATCGCTGAGTCCTCAAATCACAAAGAAGTAAGAACTTAAATCTTTCACAATCTTAAGAGACATAATAGCAAGAGCTATAATATTCACACATACAAATGTCACCGTTATATCCAAAGGTACACCTCACCTTGATATGTCACCCTTATAACCGAAGGTACACCTCTCCTTGATATGTCACCCTTATCCCATGGTACACCTCTCCTTGATATGTCACCCTTATCCCATGGTACACCTCTCCTTGATATGCCACCCTTATTTCCTCATCAAAATCTATGGATTAGTTCCAAACGAAGACAGACCGAAGTCACAACCGTCTTGATGAAATAGCCTCAATTATTTTATCCATCAAAATCTGTAGATTAATTACAAACGAAGACAGACCGAAGTCACAATCGTCTTGATGGAATATCCTCTATAGTTTTTAACCAATAATGGTTTCAAAACAGTTTATCTTCAAAACTTTAGAACTCAAGAACTACCAATTCTTTCAATATCATTTCCAAACTCAGAATCTCTTTTAAATCCTAAAAATAGGATATCATCCATCAACTGTTTTTTTAAAAGCAACATCTGCTTTATTTTCCAAAACAGTTTCCAAATTCAGAATCATAAAAACGTATCTTTAAACTGTTAGAAAATAGTATTTACCAATCTTCTTTCAAATATCAAATCATCAAAACCTAGCAGTTCAAATAACATCATATAAAGGTTTAAGTATAAAAAACTCACCTTAAAAGCACGGATTGCAGATTCAAAACACGGTAATTTCTTCAAAGGAACACAGATTCCTTAAATTGCTTTTTAGGCAAATAACTTTCTCAAGAACAGTTTTCACCGCCACACACACTTTTCTCTCAAAGTTCTTTCAAAATAAGATGAGATAAAATCTTATCTTTTATCTCCCTTATATATTTATTTAATAGAGGCGGTGTATGTTTTAACAATATAAAATTCTTTGGGCGGTGGGTTTATTATTTTAAAACTCAATCTTACTTAACCATGAAGATATCATATCTTCTTATTTTAATAAAATAACCCTTGTATGCCTTTCACCTTACATGTACACACATATTTTATCAAATTCATATGTATGCACAGTAACACATTTTTGCACATAAGCACACAATCCATGCATTTATTTAAATAACATGCATGTTATCACATATTTCACATAATAACCACATAAAGGTTACCTCAACCGATGTTGTCTGAAATTCAGGTCGTTACAATAAACATCATCAAATACACAACAAATTTGGTAGATAGTAAGGAAAACATTTCGATATATCAAAATACACATTTCTGGCATATACATAGTTTTAGCAAAGCAACTTAAACTCACATTGCTAGGTTAGGTTAAACATAGGTTCCAAATTCATCTCTAGCTTCCAAAATGGTGAGGGATTTAGATCCGCCAACACCCACCTTTAGGAACTTTATCTGAGTCTCAACCAAGCCTAGAGATGTGCCAAAAGTAATCCCGAAATCAATCATACAATCCTTAGCTAAAATCTCAAATCACCCAAAACACCCAAAATGATCAAAAACTCAATATAATAGAGATACACCAGAAGGGATGTTCTAGAAGGTTAAAATGAAATCTTTTAACAAGAATAAGGGTTTAGAAAGGTTAGGGTAACATACAAATCGTTTTTAGGAAGAACCCAAAAACCAGGTCAACAATGGTGGAAATATAGATGAAGAAGATGAACTCAGATCTTGGATGTAGACTTGAAATCTTAATGTTATGAGCTCCTAAATGCTCTTGAAGAAATTGATTTGGAGGAGGAATATTCTTGGACCAAAAATGTGAGAGATAAAAATGAATTGGCGAAGAAGAAAAGAAGAAAAAGAAGGAAGAAAATTGGAATTAAAGGGGTTGCAGGCCCAACAACTTTCTGCCCAGATGCTCGTAGGCGCAAGCAAAAAAGCTACGCGGATGCGAGCAGTGTATACATATAGTTTTACCCGCTTTTTGGGGTTTGCTCACAAGCGCGAGCAAAATAGTTGTGCGGGCGCGAGCAGTTTCGACCAAAAGTTGATTTTTTTGCCAAACGCGATAACCAACTCAACCAACATTCATGATACTTCTAAATGACTATATTAAGGCCAAAATACATACTAAACTTGAAATTATGGATACTAAAAATCCGAATGTTATAGATTATTCCCTACATTAATTTAAATGTAGGGAGGATGACTGAAGATGCTCTTAGTTAGATAAATTATGTATGCATGTTCTTTACAAATCTTCACGAGACAAAACATTTTCCACCATGCTTATCTAGTGATTTCGTTGGTGCTAGTGTACATAAATTATTTTTCATTATTTTGTTACACTTGACAATCTCGTAGTTTTGATTAGGGGTGTTCATTTTAACTCCCAAACCACACAGTCCATTGACGCCACACAAAACAATGCAATTTAGAAGTTTCGTAGTACGGCTTGCGGTTTGAATTTTTTAAACCGTATAAAGTGCACCGTCATATTTTGCGTTTGAGGCCATTACAGTATCGTTTGTGGTTTGAAAAATATTAAAACTGCATATGTTGTTTTGGCTCTAAAACCGCACTACATGCAATGAGAATAATGCTAATTTTGATGATTGACAAACAAATGTTCAATGCAATTTTAGTCTATCGCTTTCAATATTTATAAGAATCTATTTACAAACATCAAGTAACTATGACGAATCAAGATTCGCAATACCAAGTTTGAACAACTTAGAATTTATCTTAGAGAATATGCCGCCAAAGGATATGAAAGAAATTAATTTCGAGCCAGATGCATTGAACAATTTATTGAAGAATAAATCCAAGTCAGTTTTCCCAACTTACTTCATCATATGAATATATTATATATAAATATATACACACACACACACACATTCAATCAGTTTGATTTTAAAGTATGATTCATATTGTTTCACATGTTCTATTCTTACATGTGTGCTTTAGTATATGAAACATACTTATATGTTTTATTTCACACGTAAAACAGTTCTAAATATTTTATATATAAACAACACTGTATGAACACTACTGCATATTTCTCATATGTTGTTTCATAACTTGAAAATCGGTTCAAAGGTTCATAATAGATATAGGTTTGTATTTGATTTTTCCTTCTATATGCATACAACTTCATAATATTACTTAATGATACTGAAACAATTTAATTAATATGAAAAGAAAAATATATATATGAAACTTACAAAAAGGATTTTAAAAAGTAAAATTAAAATAAAAAAAGATTTTAAAAAGTAAAAATTGAAATAAAAAAACACGCCTTGGCAACACCAAGTCACACCAAAACGACATCTCGTCTTACAACAACCACAGAGGAGGTTTAACATACGTAAAAGACACACCTGCTGTCATGACACACATTCTTTAACACTGCATAATATCAAGTTGAATAACAATAACGACACATGATGATAATGATTCTTAATTTATTTTTTTACATTTCCGACAATCCATTATGACATGAATATATCCCTTTTGGTCATTTAACAATATCGTCTTTTTCCATCGACAAATCCAAACATTTTTTATTTATATTTGAAAATTAACGCTTTAACTGAAATAGATATTTACTTTTGAAAATTAACACTTTAACTAAAATAGATATTTACTTTTGAAAATTAACACTTTAACTAAAATAATCATATGAACACTTATTTCAAAATAAATATAAATATAAATTTATTTTTATTTTTTTATTTTAATTCGGTCCCATCGAGTACAAATCTCGTAGTCATAAAATAACAAAATGAATAATAAAATTGTCGATAAAATTATTGCAATTTTTACGGGAAAAGACTAATTGTATTCTTGTATATTGTTAAATGTAGTTATATATTAATATCAAATTTTATTTTTTACATTCTCAATACATGAATTGACCCGATTTTGACATTAAAGATGTGCAAATAACAATCTCTATTTTATAAGAGGTTGTTTATTTACCTTTATATAGTTCTATTAAGAAAAACAATCTATGAATTGTTAAGAAGAAAATTGTATTTGACAAAAAAAAAAAAAATCTGTCTTTTAATAATTTTAAAAGTCTTTAAATACCTTAATTTCATTTAACCGATTACCAAACAATTATATTTTATTTTCGGTTATATACGGCATCAAAAAATTCAACAATGGTCTTGGTTACCTCCATATTCCGCAAGCCTTTCGCCGTCTTCTACTACTGCTCACTTCAATCATCCCCTTTCTCTATATGCTTTTACCATTTTCGAGAAATTGACACACACTCCAAGCTGGAAAACCAGTGGATTAATGCGAAAATGCATTTGGGTTAACTACTTCCTAGAATTGGGGAAAGATAGATGGTCAAATCACAAGTGTCTTGCTGCATCAGCTGATCGATTTTAATCGAATTTTGTTTGACGAAGGTTGGTTGGTTTCTTTATTCATTAATTGTGGCTTTTGTTGGTTGATTTGAATAATGAATTGTAAGCAGCTAATAATTAATATCTTATGGTTGAACTTCCTTTTGTGGGTTTGTTTACTTGTACTGACTGATGATTAGAGTATATTTGTTTGTACTTTTGTAATTAGAATAAGCCTAATCAGATTGAGCTTTCAGCTTTGCTTTTCTCTTTAGGGCACCATTAAAGAATTCGTTTGACTAGCGATTATTATAATTAAGCATACATTTATTGCGGCTACAGATAATATTTTGTCAGATTAGGAAAAAAAAATATAAAAATGTCAATTCAAGACATGTCCAGATATAGATAAATTAAATTATATATGTCAGTAAAATGTACATAAAATAAAGTATGTAATGATTTTTGCAGGTGTTTTCATCAAGTGGGTTGGAGCTGTTATAGAACAAAGAGAGGTTTTGAAGGCTGTGAATGAATTTTGAGAGAATTATTGGTGGTAGTACTTTTGGATCTTGACTCAAAGATGCCACTCTCAGAGTTCTATAGATCTGTTAATGGAAAGAATGAATCCCCTCAGCAAAAAGCAAGTGATATTTCATATATGTAAGTGTTGTCTTAAAGATTATCTGTTTGGGTTTTGCTTTTCTTGATTGCTTTCTTGAATTGATGTTGGTGGGTTGTGATAATTGCAGTCCAAACGATGAGTTTGTGGAGTTGATATGGGAAAAGGGTCAGATTATGATGCAGGGTCAGTCTAGCAAGACTAGAAAGACACCAGTTTCTAGTAATTTTCAATTCCATACACCAAAATTTCAAGAAAAGGAAGGTTTGTTGGATGTAGCCTTGCCGGGTACTTGTGTCGAAATGGGATTGAATCAAGATGATGATATGGTGCCTTGGTTGAATTATCCCCTTGATGACTACTGTTCTGATCTCTTACCTGAAATATCTGGTGTTACAGTAAGCGAACCACCACCCCCTGTGAATATCGGATTCAATGTAATTGATAAGAGAGGTTGTTGTAATAAAGATTCACATGTGAATACACATAACATTTCTTTGCGTCATGGTGTCGGTTTAGACCAATCAAATGCATCTAGAATCTCCTCTTCTTCAAGAACCAGCCACTTGTTTTCGTGGTCGCTTGATCAAGTGCATATTCCAGATCCTTGTGTCAGATCAGGAGTTTCAGACATAGGTAGCAGTAAATGTAGAAATAAACCCCATAATGTTATTCATAGAGATCCAGTACAAATTCAAGGTTCATCGGGCAGACCTGAAAAATTGGTGCAGAAACAAGATTCTCTACCGCCTTCTTCCACATCTGGCTTGTTGAATTTTTCTCATTTCTCAAGACCAGCTGCTATGGCTAGAGCGAATCTTCTTCAGAACAGCGGCTTACTGGCTGATTCCGCTTCATGTGGTTTGGATATAATGAAGAACAATGAACACCATGCTAGTTTGGATCATGGACCACAAAAAGAAATTGGGGTCCCAAGTCAACCTAGTTTGGATTCAGCTAAAGTAGCTTCAAACCCTTTTGCAAGTAAGCCATTAGAAGAGCCACATTGTGTTGAAAAGTCTTGCCCTGATCACAAGGAAGATGCAACAACCGGTAATGAAAAGTCCCCCAATGTGGTTCTTGATTCAAATCCACCTAAAGGAGGCCCAGAAACTGAAAAGAGCATTGAGCCAGTTGGTGCTTCCTCTTCTGTTTGCTCGGGGAATAGTGCCGAGAGAGCTTCCAATGATTTGACGAAAAATTCTAAAAGAAAATCTATTGATACAGAGGATTATGAGTGCCAGAGTCAGGTATGTTAAAAGAAAGATTGCCTTTGATATTGGGTTCTTTCGTTACTTTGTTTATGTTATTGTTTCATGTACTCATTGTAACCAATGTTTTTGATTAGGACATTGAGGAAGAGTCTTTGGGCACCAAAACAGCGGCTACTTCTCGAGGAGGTTCAGGTTCCAAGAGAAGTCGAGCTGCTGAAGTTCATAATTTGTCTGAAAGGGTGAGCAAAATCATCTATCAATGCAAATTGCATTGTTCTCTGTTTTGATAACCATGGTATCTGGCACCTTGTTTGTTCACACTCTTGCACAAGCCGGGGGTCTTAACGGAAACATATAGCGGTCAGGTCTACATACGTCTCACCCCCAAGAGTCTACTTTCGAGTTAAATTTACCGGGTCTGTTTGGTTTGGCTTGGCATCTGGCACCTTGTGCCTAACTAGTCTATGGGTTCATGCAATATGTCCACTCCACATTGCAGAGGTGGCATAAGGAGTTTGGGAACCGTGGATGTCCGAGCCACAGCTTGTGTGTACGTCAACTAATCCCTTATGGCCTTGAAGTTATCAGTCAGGCGAACCCTCCAGTGACCCTGAGGGGACTTGAACCGGTGACCTCTAGGGAGCAAACCCAAGGTCTTACTACCGGTTGAACTTCCACTCAGGGTTGACCCATAAGGATTGGTAGCGAGTTATCACTATGCTAACCCCTTAAGATCATTGTTTCTATAAATTTCATCGTAAGAATTGTCATTTGTAACTTTGAAACAGAGGCGAAGGGATCGGATAAATGAAAAGATGCGTGCACTGCAAGAACTCATACCAAATTGCAACAAGGTACACCATGTAATCTCCTCTTATGGATCCCATTCTTGAACCCATCTAAATTTCCTTGATTTTGAGCATCCAACGAATACTCAAACTTAAACGTCATTATAACAAAGATTTTTTGTGGTATTTGAATCACAAGGTGGATAAAGCATCGATGCTTGATGAGGCAATCGAGTATTTGAAGACACTTCAACTTCAAGTACAGGTATAATGTTTGTACATTTTATTTAATTATCTGATTTGTGATGGTATTATATTTACTCCCTGGATACATGTTCCATTGCAGATTATGTCAATGGGAACTGGATTATGTATGCCATCAATGATGTTCCCAACCGGAATGCAACATATGCATCCGGCTCATTTCTCCCCCATGGGAATTGGTATGGGAATGGGAATGGGAATGGGTTATGGAATGGGAATGGCGGAGATGAACGGTGGACCTCCACATATGTTTCCATTCCCTCCAACTACACTTGGGTCGCGACACCCTGTTCCTTCACCGCCTGTTTCTGGACTCGGTAGTTGTCAAGGGATTCCTAGATCTAGCTTTCAGGTATATGGGCAAGGAATGCCGATGTTAATCTCTCAACCACCTATGCCAGGATTTCCTATGAATCCTGCTGTACGACAGACGAGGGCACAAGTGGAAATTCCACATCTAGCTTCAACCTCAAAGGATAAGAACCCACAAACATCTAGTCAGGTACTACCCATTTCTTTTGACTAAAGATATACTTTTTCAAGTTATAGTTATGGTATTGAACAGAGTAGCTAAGCCTATTATTCATCAAGTTAATCAAAATTCACATGTGATGATGATGCCAGACTTCAGAGGACAAGAAAGATCCAGTTCAAGAAGCCGGATGTAGCACAGCTGGTAAGTTGGTCTCTGCTAGATTTGTCGATGAATGGTGGAGATTGGTTCTCATTTGTTTTGATGTAGGTGTTGATTGAAGGGATGATAACAAAGAATCGGAAAGGGAAAAGCTGTGTTGACTCGAGTTGGGCATCATGTCATCGAACGACTATTTTGGAACTATTAACATCCGTCTATGATCTGCTCAAAGCATCGGGATGACAGAGTATCTTGTTCGATTGTGAATCATCCCATAATAGTGACTGTTTGGTGTCAATAGAGTTAGTTGAACAAACTATTTATGTGATAACAATCTTCAAAATTAGTTATTAAACAATAATTCTATTTTTCATGTTTGGTGGCCATTTGCAGTATATACAATAAAGGATCCTAATCCTTCAACACCCCCTTCCCAATTCAGCTTTGCAGTTGGAAATTCAGACAAAGATGGCTGAAATTTGAATTCATATGATTATGATTATGATTATGATGATGATGCTATGTGAAGAGTGAGGACCAAAATGTATTGGTTGTATATCCATCCCCATTTTGCTTCTTCAACCCCTACAAACCTATTTCCTCTTTCTTTTTTTTAATATTTATTATTTATAATAATATAAAAATAGTGATTCTCTCTTCCTTTGTTTTTTAATTTTACATTTATATATTGTTATTTTAATTTTTATTATATATCTTAATGTTATTAATTAATGTCCTAATTTAATTTAGTAATCTATACTATATTATAAAACATTTGACAAAAACTCTTAAAAACTATTTTTTATGCATGAAGTACCATATGTTGATGCATATTACTTAAAATTCAAGATTACAAGTAAATTATGCACAAGTACAACTTATTAAAGCTTCATATTTGAATTCGTGTAACTAACTACGGATAATCATAATCAAATAGAAGATAAACATCTCATTTTAAAATATAATTAGAATAATTATCAGATTCTAACAAAATAATTAATCATTATCATTATAAGAAAATTATATTATTAAACCAGATATAAATTACTTCGTTATTGAACCTAAATTAAATTATAATAAAAATTTTGAATTAAAAATTACACAAAAAATGAGGATTTTAAATAGTTAATTTGATACTAATATCGATATATTTTTGTCAAGTTTTTATGATATCTTCAAATTTATATTTTATTAAAAAAAATAAAAACATCATCGTTTTTTCAAAATCACATAAGACCATATTACAACATCGACTGAAATAAAGAATAAAATGAAATATTAAAATCAAAACGTATCTCGCTGCATTACGCGAATACCTTTTTAGTTATATTATAAGAAATAAGTCTTTTTTATTTTAGCAATTTAAATAATAAGAAATTTCTGATCAATTATTCTAAAATAATATAGTTGTGTGACTATGTAATGCAGCAGAATGTACAATTCAAATAGTTGGATTAGTTTACCAAAAATAAAATAAAAAAAAGTTAGGTCAGGTTTTATACCGTATATAATGTGAAAACATACAAAAAGCAAGTTAATGGTATGATTGTGAAAAGAACATTGTCCTTATAAGAAGTGTACTAAAAAACAGAAGGACAAAATAAGTCAAAGTGTAACGGAGATTGGTTTAGTTTCTATTTAGTGTAATAAAGATTTTTGTAACACGTTCAAATCTTGGAATAAATGATTAATTTAAAATTTACAATAATACAACAAATAAATGATAAATCATTTTTTATATATCAAAACTTCAACTATCTTGAATAGCAATACTAGATTTAACATCAACAAATGATAAACCAAACCTTACATAAAGACTAGGTTAAGGTCGGGTGTTACTAAAACCCAATAATGGTTGATATCTTCAAATGTGGAAGATGTCACCGAATAGCTAAATCATTCTCGTAAATTTATCTAACATTCAACTCATCGCAGTGTCGCTAGTATCAAACCCTGACGAGGATCTGATGCACATGCCGACAAATAAAAATGTTAGGCTTAACGTCTAGTGAGTTAAAGCAGTTTTCATCATAAATATAAAACAATACAACTGAAATATTTCTTATTTAAAACATGATTTCTCGAATGAAATGTATTTATTGTAAAAGCAACTTCTTTCCAAAACCCATTGTTTTCGTGATGAAACCTCTAAATCAAAATGCACATTAATATAAATTTAAAACCCAACACTCACTCTAGACGTATATAAGGTTTAAGATCTATTTATTTTAATCACGGATAAAAACTCTATTTCAAAATGCCCCAAAAATGGGAAATAAGGTTCCAAAACCACAAATATTAGAAGAATTCGATACTTGAAAACAACGTTGAAAACTAGGATAATATTATATCCGAGAATAACACTATTTGGTGATGGGGGAGACCTGTATCTATCAAATATGGCGAACCTATAAGTAAGCCTCAATCAACGTTAACGAGCCTCAACTATGGATCATACAGTCATCAAGTTCAACCACCTACAATCTGTAGTTTGAGTCCTCCGTTGATTGCCTAGACGAACTCTTTTACTAGAAATGTTAGCCAATTAACGGACTGCACGGTCATCGAGTTCAACCACCAGGGCCGGCCCTGGGCATAGGCCCAAGGGGCGACGACCCAGGGCAGCATAAAGCCCAAGGGCATCAAAAATCCAAAAGCCCAATGTATATGTATATAGGTTCAGTTTTTACTTGGGCCTAAAAATGTTACCGTTAGCCTACTACCTTAGTCCGTTAGATTTACCAGTCCATCTCGACTCTCGCTTCATTCTGTGGACTCGTTCACTCTGAATAGACTATAGTCAATAGAAATCGAAATCGCTCTCGCTCTCGTCGTCGGTCGCTATCGCTCTCGCCTCTCTGCCTGAGCCTGACTGCCTCCCGGCTCCCACTCTCGCTCTCTGCCTCTCCGGCCTCAGCGGCTCTTCTCTTCGCGGCTTCGCCAATCGCCACCTCGCCCCGTCGCCCATCGCCCTTCGCCCTCTGCCCCTCTCTCTTTGTGAATGCGACCACTGACTTGTGTTGACTTGAGGTTAGGGATTCATTTAACATTTAACTATTTAAGTCTTTATTCTTTAACTTAGTTACTTAGGGAGTTAGGGTGATTCTATGAAATTTAACTATTATATTACTTATTTTATTTTTTAAGTTTTTAATTTTGTTTGATTGGAAACCTAATAATGAAGTTATGAAACTAGATTAGATGTGATTCTGTGAAATTGGTGAGTGGTGACTTACTGACTTGCTTTGTTGGACTATTTTAATTTGTTTGACTCACTGATGAATTTTGTTTCACTTGTTACAAACTAGTGAAACCACAAAATTAGAATTTAGAAACAAGTGACAACCATTTGTTAATGTTTTAACTTTACAGATGCTTAATCTTATGTTTAATACTTTAACTTAGGGTTAGGACTGTTTTACTGTTTTACAGATGCTTATGTTTTCTCGTTTATCAATTTGTCCAGGTTGCTTAACAGTTCCACTTTCTTGGCAATTTTACAACACAAACCACGAAGTACCAAATCCAGGTGTTATTTTTCTATTCTTTATATCGTATATTTGTTTAACAATTTAACAACTTAAGTTATGTTGCCTCGATCACAACCATCGGGTGCTCAAAATAGGAAAAGAAAAAAAAAGGCAAGAAGAAATTGCTCAATCTTTGCAAGGATCTCTAAATAAATTTATTGTTAGACAACCAAATGTTTCTAAAAATGCTAGTGATAAAAATGAAAATGCTTGTAATGCAAATGGTAGTGATAAAAATGAAATTACTTRTGATGCAAATGTTTGTGATGAAAATACTAGTGATAAAAATGAAAATGCTTGTGATACAAATGCTTTTGATGYARATGAAAATGTTAGTGATGAAAATGTTTGTGCTTGCGATGATGAAAATGCTTGTGATACAAATGCTTCTAGTGATGTTCGTTTGAATATATTTGATCCAAGAATTTGAGATATGCTAAATTCTAAAATGAAAGATTTGTTTGTTGAAAAATGGCCTATTAGGAAAACTAACATCAATTTCCCTAGAGATAATACATGTAGACACTTCTCTGATGAATTTTAAGTTCGTAAGTTACGCTATGGTGATTGTCATGATAGAAAGTGGTTAGTTTATTCAAAAGAGCTAGATAAAGTCTTTTGTTTTTGTTGCAAACTTTTCAAAGAAGGCCAGTCAGAAAGCCAATTAGCAAGTGTTGGATTAAGTGATTGGAAACATCTTGGTCAACGATTAAACGCTCATGAAAATAGCATTGAGCATATGACTAGCTTGGGAATTTGGTCCGAATTGCGATTGAGATTGAGTAAAAATGAAACACTTGATAAAGACCTACAAGATTTRATAAAAAAGGATACTGATCATTGGAAAGAAGTTTTGGTTAGAATTATTGCTGTTGTTAAATGTCTAGCAAAGAATAATATAGCTTTTCGTGGGAAAAATGAAAAACTTTTTGAAGAATCTAATGGTAACTTCTTCGGCTTAATTGAAATGATTACTGAGTTTGATCCGGTTATGAAACAACACTTTCAGCGTATTAAAGAAAAAAAAACTCATTATCATTATCTTAGCCACAAAATTCTTGATGAACTTATTGACATGTTGGCATCTAATGTTAAGAGTGCAATCATTAAAAAGATCAAAGAGACAAAAATATTTTTCAGTTATTCTTGATTGTACTATGGATGCAAGTCATCAAGAACAAATGACTTTGATTTTAAGATGTGTTGACGTGTCTAGCTCTCCTATACAAGTAGAAGAGTTCTTTTTAGAGTTTTTGGTGGTAGAAGATACATCTGGTTTAGGACTTTTTAATGTATTACAAGATGTTTTGAAATCACTTGATTCGGATATCAATTATGTGCGGGGACAAGGGTATGATAATGGCTCTAATATGAAAGGGAAACATCAACGTGTGCAAAAAAGATTATTTGATATAAATCCTAGAGCCTTTTATATGCCATGTGGTTGTCATAGTCTTAATTTAGTTTTATGTGATATGACAAATTCTTGTCACAAAGCAAAAACCTTTTTTGGTACTTGTCAAGCCATATACAATGTCTTTTCTAATTCTACAAAGAGATGGACTGTTTTATTAGAATATATTGATGATTTGACTTTGAAATCTTTATCTGCTACTCGATGGGAAAGTCATATTGAAAGTGTTAAAGCTATCAAAACTCAAGTTGGCCAAATTAGAGATGCTTCAGTACAATTGGCTCAAGTAAGTGAGGATGGAAGAGTGTGTAGGGAAGCCGAGTCTTTGGTTAAGGGTGAGCTTTCAAGTTTTGAGTTTATTGTAAGTTTGGTTATTTGACATGAAATTCTGTATAGAATTAATTTAGTTAGCAAGAAGTTACAGTCTAAAGATATGCTTCTTGATGTTGCAATACAAAATCTAAAGGGATTAGTTGAATATTTTGAAAAATATAGGGAAAGTGGGTTTACATGTGCCATTCGTGAAGCTAAAGAGATTGCAAGTAATATTGGAATTGAACCTGAGTTTGCTGTAAAACGTTTTTTCTCAAGGAAAAAACAATTTGATGAAATTCCAAATACGGAGAGAGCACAACAATCTATGTTTGGCTTCTTGTTTGATTATTTTCTTGTTTTAGTTGATATGGCTCTTTTGCAGTTATGAACTAGATTTGAACAAATGCAAGAATTTGAATCTATGTTTGGCTTCTTGTTTGATGGGCGAAATTTGGTTACTTTACATGATGACGAGTTAAAAAAATGTTGTTTGAACCTTRAACTTGCTTTAACAAATGGTAATGATTCTGATATTGATGGCGAATATTTGTTTATGGAGTTACAARTTTTGCAGGGAATGCTACCAGAAGAGGCATGTAAAAGTGGAAATCCTTGGACATCGATATAAATTATGGAGTTCGCAAAGAAAATGCACATGTTTCCACATGTCTTGCTTGCTTACATGATATTATTGACCGTAACGTTGACCGTAGCATCTGCAGAAATAAGCTTTTCAAAGTTAAAGTTGTTGAAGTCAAATCTACGGTCTACCATGAGTCAAGAAAGCTTGAACGAGTTAGCAATCTTGAGTATTGAGAGTAAGTTTTTAGCTAATATTAGTTATGACAAAGTGATAGATATTTTTGCTTCAAAAAACGCAAGACATTGTTTTAGGTGAATGGTGATGTACTTTATCTTTTGTTACACGAGGTTTTGGTTTATGTCCCCCCCGTTGCATCATTTTTGTTATATTTAAGGGGCACTTTTTTGTTACATTGACTAGGTTCCAAAACCCTTCAAATAGTTTATTTTGGTTTTTATTTACACGTATAAGGGGCATTTTTTTGACTTTCCGCCGTGGGCATCCAAAATCTCAGGGCCCTGTCAACCACCCACGGCCTATAGCTCAAGTCTTCCTCGATGGATCATATGGTCATCTTCCTCCATTTGGCTCCAAATCTTTAATTATGGTGGAATTTAGTGATATGTTTCAGCGTTGCTCTTCTCTCTTCTTGTTTCCATAAATATGAGCATTGTGTATGTCCATGTCCATGCATTTAGAGCATCTCCAATCAAGGTTCTTAGAATCTCTTTTTTGGACGCTAACTCATCAAATCAAGAACTCTCTTAAATCCACAATGATGCAATGTAGCTGAAACCCATTTAATAGGTAATATATATATATATATATATAGAGAGAGAGAGAGAGAGAGAGAGAGAGCGCTTGGTTCAAATACTAACCAAGATATTTGTGTTAACTTTGTTAATCAATCTTGACCATTGATTTTTACAATAAAGGGTTGTGATTAATCATGATAAAAAATTAAATTTTTAAATTTACAATTTCAAAGAACATATGTGAACAAAGGGGAAAAGAGTATTTAGGTAATTTTCTTTTTTATGTAACTCCCATATTATTAATTGGGAGTTACAAAATCAAAAAATCTCATTATTTTTATTAATTTATTTTTGTTAATGTAAGAACCATATGAACACACACACACACACACACACACATATATATATATATATATATATATATATGAACCATTGTGTCAAATACGAACAAAAATTGACATATATATGAACTTGGACTGTATAGCATTTATGAACACAAAATGAATATAATAAGAATAGTTGTTACAGGAAAGTAAATAAATAAAAAAACAGGTATGAACACAATATGAACACTTTGTGAACAATAGTTCCTTCATTATGAACACATTCAGGGTGCGTTTGGTGCGTGGAACAGGGTGGGACGGGACAGGACAGGACACACTTGTCCCATGTATGGTGTGTTATTAAGTGGAACTAAGTGGAATTAACCTGAACAAGGGTGGGACACGGGTGTTCACCCTTATCCCCCTATAACTAAGTAGAACAAGGTTTTTTTTACTAATCTACCCTCACTTCATCTCGTGCATCCTTCCCCGTCGGTCCTCCATTCCATCGCTCCTCAATTCCATCCTACCCTACCTCTCCTTCATCAATCGGCGACCGGCGACCGGCGATGGCAGTTCGACAGTCCGCCTGATTTCATCTCGACGAGTTCCATACACACATTCCGCTGTTTGCTTTATTGCCCAATCTCGACGAGTTCCATTCCATCACACCCTACCTTCTCCTTCATCAGGTACACGATTGCCCTATGTTTGCTCTATTGCCCTAAATCAGCTGTTTGGTATGTTTGGAACGATTTAGGGTTTGCTATATCTGAATCGCTATTTGGGGTTGCTATGTTTGAATCGATTTAGGGTTTGCTTTGCTTGAATTGGCTGTTTAATCAAGCAATCCCAAAATATCGGCTGTTTGTAGTGCTAAATTGGCTGTTTAACTTATCGCTTTCATTGTTTTTGTTTTTTGTAACTATGCCCTTCTGTGGGTGACCCAAAATATCATGGTTTATGAAGCTATTCACTATGCCATAATCCACAATCACAAGTAATAACAGAAAATCAGAAGATTGTGAACACAAAAACATAAAGAGAGACTATTGACTATTGTATGTACTGTTCTGCATTTCAACACCAAATTACAACAATATTCTTGAATATATTTTGAACATATTTTTGATTGTTGCACTTGAGCATATTCTTGCCATATCCTTATCTATAATTGTTGCATAATAATAAGTTGGAACATTTTATAGTGACTACATCTCATATTTTTTATGTAGAATGGATCGGAACCATCTACTTGTAGTTGTTAAAGTGTTGAAAGCTTACATCAACTTGCTCATACTTTTGGTCAACTTTGCAAATTGGTTAATTGAACATGAACAAAGAGATGATAGGAGGAGAACTTTAAGACAAAGAACATTCACTAGATTGCAAATTAGATCGATAGAAATCCAACGCATCCCACGTGAAAGTGACATTATATGTGTAAATGAGTTGCGAATGGATAGGAATGCATTTGCTCTTTTGTGTGAGTTGCTAAAAACACGTGGTGAACTATTAGATGATGGTAACGTGACAATTGAAGAACAAGTTGCTACATTTGTTAACATTTTAGCACATCACACCAAAAATAGATGTCTTCAAGTTAGATTTTATAGGTCGAGGGAAACAATTAGTAGGTATGTTCATCGAGTTTTAAGTGCTTTGTTGCGAGTGCAAGACATTTTGTTTAGCAAACCAACTCCGGTAGAGGATGATTGTACCGACAGAAGATGGAAATGGTTTAAGGTAATGCTTGTTAACTTCTCTCATTACTTATGATATAAAAATTATACCATTTAGCTAAAACCAAGTTTTTTTCTTTATAGGGTTGTTTAGGAGCAATAGATGGAACATACATTGAAGTGACTGTACCTGAGTCCGATAAACCACGATACCAAACAAGAAAGGGTCATATTGCGATTAATGTATTAGGTGCATGCACTCGGGACATGAATTTCATTTATGTTTTATCCGGTTGGGAAGGTTCAGCTACCGATTCTAGGGTACTACGAGATGCGGTTACACAGAATAATGGTTTAAAAGTCCCAATGGGTAATTACTATTTGGCTGATGCAGGATATGTCATTGGTAACGGATTTTTGGCACCATATAGAGGTACTAGGTATCATTTACGAGAACGGGAACACATTGGTTATACACCTTCAAATAAGGAAGAATATTTTAACATGAAACACTCACAAGCTAGGAATATCATAGAAAGGTRTTTYRRTATTTTGAAGAAACGTTGGGCCATATTACGAAGTCCTTCTTTCTATCCAATAAAACTTCAAGGAAGGATGGTCATAGCATGTGCTTTGCTACATAATTTTATTAGGATGTACATGGTTCTTGATCAGGAAGAAAACACGACACTCACACTAGAAGATATGCCTATAGGGGAAGAGCAAGTGGAATCCAACGATGATGTTGAATCTATTGATGTTGTTGAATCGAGCAATGAGTGGACTCAATGGAGAGATGACGTAGCCCAAGAGATGTTTGAGTCGTGGATGTCAAGTAAATGAATTTACTCAATGTATTGTATTATTTTTTTTAATGTAGAATTTTAAAATGTTATCGTAATGTATTATTTTGTTGCTAATGTTGAATTTTAAAATGTTATCGTAATGTATTATTTGTTGCTAATGTTGAATTTNGTTGAATTTTAAAATGTTATCGTAATGTATTATTTGTTGCTAATGTTGAATTTTAAAATGTTATCGTAATGTTAATTTTGGAATTTCTAAGATGGCGGATAGACGTAATTGGAGTATCCAAGAAGAGGATGCACTGATTAGCATTCTACAAGAGATTGTAGCCGCCGGTGGTAGGAGTGATAATGGGTGTTTTAGGACCGGCACGTATGAGCAAATCATGTTAAAGATGCGTGAAAAGATTCCGGGCCTTAATATAACATCAAAACACATCCAGAACAAAATGAAGCGGCTCAAGAATAAGTATTCAGCAGCTTATGACATGCTGAATACAAGTGGTTTGGTTGGAATGATGCGCATCAATGCGTAACGGTGGATGCTCAAGTTTTAGAAGAATACTTAAAGGTAACACTTATATTTTTTATGTTAATATTTCATACTTAATTTCATTTGGATAGAGATTAACGTTATACATATTTATGCATTTTTTTTATAGAAACATCCAAGCAAAAATTATATTGCCAACAAGCCGTTTCCTCAATATGAGCGACTGAAGACAATATTTGGAAAAGATCGAGCCACAGGATCGATGGCGGAATCTGCCGCTGATGCATTGGAGCACATAAATCTTGAAAGTGAAGTCGGGGCTGATATTGAGGAATTGAACGAGCCTTTTACTACTCCTTCTAATGGCGCTTCTGCATCATCCATTCCACAAGACGTAGAAGCATCATCTCAAAAAAAAGAGAAAAACGGATGTTTCTGAAGATGCAATCAAGCTGATTGAGAAGGGGTTGAATTCATTATCCGAGGAAATGGGTAAGTTGGTATCGGTTGTTGGTACTCCGGGCTTACAAACTATGCCCGATGAGTTAAACAACATGGGTTTTGATGATGATCAAGTTATTGCTATTAGCATGTATTTTGCCGATAACCCGATTCAACTACGCTTATGGAATAACATTAATGCTACTTTGAAGCCAAAATTTGTGACGACCATCTTAAAAAAGTTAGACATGTGATGTTGGTTGGTAAACATTGGATCTTTTGTGYTTAAGTCTTTTGGTACACAATTGTAAACATTTGATCTTTTGTGTTTAGATGTTTTGGTAAACATTATAATTTTTGTTGGTGAATATGATGTTTAAATCTTTTGATTTATGAATGTGAGTTTTTAATTAAGATTGATTTTGGAATTTTTTTAGTATTTTTAAATAGTATTTGTAAACATTTATATCTATTATTTATTGAAAAAACACTAAACAGCTCACTGGGAGTAAATTAGTCATTTTAACCAGTTCTGTCTTGTCATGTCATGTCTTACCAAACGCTGAACAGCTGTCCTGTCCTGTCTGCGCATCAAACGCACCCTCAGGAGCAAGCCAATGTTGAGATATGCAGCTAGTGTACATATGAACAATAATATGAACAGTTTGTGAACAATAGTTCCTTTATTATGAACACATTTCAGGAACAAGCCAATGTTGAGATATGCAGCTAGTGTACATATGAACACAATATGAACACTTTTGAACAATTCTTTAACAATTACATATGAATTCGAATTCTGATTGTAGTTGTAAACGATTTTAACCTTTTCATTCTCATTGTTGTCGATCTGTTTTCAAATAGGTTTATCCATATTACTCRGACGATATCGAAATCTTTACAATCGGAAATTCTTTAACAATTACAAAATCAATATCATTATGGATAGAATAAATCAAAATTACTAAACATGAACACGTATAAAAAATATCAATATTACATAATCATCAATTATTGAGATTTTTAGATTTGTAACTCCCAATTAATGATTTGAGAGTTACATAATTGACAAATTACTTAATTACCCTTGTTATTAATATATGAGTTATATGTGAACCTACAGAAAAGATGGAATATGATTGGTTGAGCTTGGTTAACAAAGTTAACACAAAAATCTTCGTTAGTATTTGAACCAACCCCTATATATATATATATAGGGTTGAGAATTGGTCTTACGGATCTCACGAAAAACCTTTGGTCTCACATGATCTCAAGTCTATGATATATATATAGGGTATATATATTTCAAATGCAACCGTGTTCATTTGTACAACCAATGCAACCCAATCAATTGAGATATTTATGGAAATGATGAGAGTTTATTTATTATGATTTGAATATTTATAGAAGATGACTAGAGTTCATTAATTATGATCAATATTTTATATTAGAAAACAATCAAAACTTTTATGAAATCACATATTCATCAAATTAAATGGACGGTTGAAATTGAGTTGTCTTGGTTGTACAAATGTAAAATGTTGTATAATAATTCACCTATATATATATATATATATATAACATAAAAAAAGAGAAAAATTTCTCTTACACTAAATAAAAACTAAGTTTAACTTCATTATATTTTGTCCAAAACAGAATAAGTAGTGTTAATTTTTATGCAAATGTAATGAGATAATAAAATTTTCATCTAATTCATGTGTAGAACTGCATGGGGTTTTTAAGCTTCCTCAACACTTTTGTGCAACACTTGAAGAACAAAACAAACTTGAACACAAACCCTTACCTTTGTACAATGCTATGAAAGCAGTTGTTGTTACTTTTTCTGGTCTTTTTTCCTGCAAAAAAAGGAGAAATTAATCTCCAAACCAACATTTCATAGCAGATATGGTCTTAGCGATGAGTCCAGACCATTACTTCCTAAATCATAGCTCTCTTTGGTTGAGATTAAGAGAAAAAAATACCAAAGAATAAACAAGTTTATATAAGTTTATTATATAAGTTTCCAATACGCTAGCTTTTCCCTTTGAAGTTTCAGTACACGGACTCCGTTACCCTCCATATTTTCCCATAAGTGAGGCGCAGTCCTCCTCTTTTACAAACAGCAGCACTTTATACAATTGTCAATATCTACCCCAATCTGTTATCATTTTATCAATTAAGGACAAACAAGAGTTAAGTTAGTCAAGATTGAAATATATATATATATATATATATATCCATCATTAACACCCTCCACAATAAAAATGATTAATCAACTTCTCATAATTACAAAAAAAAAAACGAACAAAATGAAAAATTATGATCGGTTGAATGTGGTTTTCANTTATTTGAACATTCCTCTCTCTCTCTCTCTCTCTCTCTCTCTCTCTCTTTCTCTCTCTTTCTCTCTCTCTCTCTCTCTCGTCTCTCTCTCTCTCTCTCTCTCTCTMTATATATATATATATATATATCTTTTAACACCCACCCTCAATCTTGACCTTTAAATAAATCAATCATCCTTAACTTTGAGTACAAATAATTGGGATGATTTATACTAAGGGATTTTGTTAAAATATCAGCATTTTGTTCAGAAGAAGAAACTTTTATTATTTTTAAAACGTCTCTACTAATTTTTTCACAAATATAATGAATATTTATTTCAATGTGCTTAGTATGCTCGTGAAAAACGAGATTATTGGCTATTTGAATAGCAGACTTATTGTCACAAAACAGATTAACTGGAAGAAGATCTTTTATTTCTAGATCAGATAGAATTTTAAGAACCCAGAGAATTTCACAAGATACAGAAGCCATTGATCTATATTCAGATTATGTGGATGAGCGAGAAACAGTATTTTGTTTCTTGCTTTCCAGGAAATCAATGAATTTCCAAAGAATAAACAGAAACCTGTAACAGAACGTCTAGTAGATAGACACTTACCCTAGTCAGCATCTACAAAAGCATTTAGATTAAATATTTCTAACCTTGTAAAGGTAACTCCTTTTTCGGGAGAAAGTTTGAGATACCTGAGAATTCTAAGAGCAAGATTTAAATGTTATTGTCTAGGAGCATACATAAACTGACTTAGACAATGAACAACAAAGGCTATATCAGGTCTAGTTGCAAGTAGATAAATCAATCTACCAATTAATCTTTGATAACCTGAACAATCTAACAAGGTAGAATCTTTTGAGTTATTAGAATCTGATATAACTAAATTTATATCCATAGGAGTACTTGAAGGTTTACATCCCAAATATCCAAAATCATTTAATAATTCTAAACAATATTTTCTTTGGGACAACACCATCAATACAATCTAGGATTTCATTCCCTAAAAAGAATTTTAACTTTCCCAAATCTTTGATCAAAAATTTGCTCTTTAAGTATTCTTTAAAACTATTTATTTCATTTGAACTGTTTCCTGTAATTACTATCTCATCCACTTAAACAAGAAGAACAAGAAACATAGAGTTAACACGTTTGGTAAACAAAGAGTAATCACTAATACTCTGTACAAACCCATTTTCAGTCAAGCAAGAAGAAAGTCATACCATTGACGAGGCGCTTGTTTAAACCATATAAAGATTTTACCAATTTACACACACGGTTATCATTAGAACTATAGTACCCTTCAAGAAGAGTCATATAGACATCTTCTACTAAGTCACCATATAGAAAAGCATTATTAACATCTAGTTGATACAAAGGCCAATTAAATTGAACAACTAAGATAATAATACCCCTGACAATGACCATTTTGACCACTGGTGAGAAGGTCTCTTCATAGTCAAATCCTTCTATCTGACTATAACCTTTAGCCACTAACCTAGCCTTATATCTTTCTATTTCTCCAGTCGACTTATATTTAATCTTGTAGACCCACTTACAACCTATTGCTTTTTTATTTTTAGGTAAAGTAATATACCAAGTTCCATTCCTATGTAAAGCTTCCATCTCTTCATTCATAGCCTTTATCCAATTTTGATCACTATAAGTTTCTTTAAAAGACTTGGGTTCGACAAACTTATTCAAATTTGAAAGAAAACAAAAAAATTCAGAGGAGAGACAAGAATAATTAACAACCCCTTCTATGCCATATTTAACCTTTTCTTCTACAACAAAATCATCATATTTTTTAGGAAAGTTGATAAGTCTAGACGATCTTCTAATAGACTGATTTTGGGAATGAATACCCTCATAGATATGACCCAAGGAATCTTCATTATTATTGTCAGTAACACCTTTAGTTGGTGAAACAGCATCACGAGGAAGACTAACAACCATTCTAGGGATACCCAAAGGCTGTCAACTGGTAACTCTATCAAGATCACCTTCCCGAGGAAGACCTTGACTACTTTGAACCTCAGAGCTGCCTAGTGACTGCCTATTGTCGGCCCTAGATAGGCTACCTAGCTCACTACAGTTACTATATCTAGGATCAGATTAACAATTATTTTCATCAACAACCGGTCCTCTATTCTCATCATTGGGTCCCACAACATCAAAATCATTAGAAGAACAAGACACAATATCAAAGAAATTAAGACTATTAACTTCTTCAGTATTAACATGACCAGTCTTGTCGTTACTCATCTTAAAAGGAAAAACACTTTCATAAAATTTGACATATCGGGAAAAAATAAATTTCTTGGTATCCACATTGTAAAGTCTAAAACCCTTTTTTGAATTGGCATAACCCAACATAACACATTTTTCACATTTAGGATAAAACTTATCTGTGATTGTGGGTATATAAGCAAAACAGAGACATCCAAAATTTCTGATATGAGTAAGGACTGGCTGAAAACCATATACAAGATCATAGGGACTCTTACCATTTAGGACAAAGGTTGGAGTTCTATTTATAGATATGTGGTAGTTAAGATACACTCACTCCACATATTGAGCGGGACTCCAGCCTGAAACATGAGAGCCCTAGCAACGTTAAGTAAGTGTCTATGTTTACGTTCCACAACCCCATTCCACTGAGGTGTATAGACACAGGAGGTTTGATGAATGATTCCTTTAGATTCAAAAAACTCACTTAACTTTTGATTAGTAAACCCAGTTCCATTATCACTTCTAAAGATTTTAACAAACTGTCCAAACTGAGTATACAGAAGATTGCAAAAAATTCAATGTACTCACTGACCTCATATTTTCCTTTTAAGAGATAGACCTAAACAACACGAGTAAAGTCATCGATAATGGTTAGGAAAAAATTGTATCCTTCTTTACTTTGGACATGGTATGGACCCATACATCTAGATGAACAAGTTCACCAAGACTTTTGGATTTGTGTGCTAGTGCTAAACTTTTCTCGTGTATGTTTTGCCTTATGGAAAATTTCACATGGGCCACAACTTTCACTACTAATATTAAGTCTTTCTTTCAAAACTTGAAGCACTTGGTCAGCTGGGTGACCAAGGCGACTGTGCCACAATTGAGACGAGGCAAAATGAACCTCTAGGATCGATTAACTCGGTTTCTTGGTATAAATTACTTACTTGGATGATCTGTTTGACAGTGTTAATGCAGCAGAAATGATAAGAATCAACCACAGTAGAAATCAATAAGAACACAGTGAAGAAGATTGATGAACACAAGAGAGAGCTTCAAATGATTTTCAATAGAATTAAAAT